TCAAATTTTTAACCTACTGTACCTTTAAAGTAGTTAATTTAATTGTTTAAAAACGTTATGTCTCCATATTTATTTATAGGTGGAAAATAAATTTAGGCATTTTAATAATTATTTTGCAATTTACTGATTTTTATTTTTATTCATAATTATTCTTAATTCACTAATCTTCATCCTGTAATTTGTGTTTATATTGTCGAATGTTATAAAATACAAAAAAATACAAAATTCCTCTTTTTTAAACGTTCAGACTTTAATATCATCAAAGCAGAACAGTTACAGTTGATCTATCTCTACATCGTATTATGATTTAAATAAAGTATCTTTTCGCAAAGATTCCGTCTTTGCGTTAAATATGGTTATAATTACCGAAGCCTCAATGGCCAATTGTGTGGGGTATGGGTGTGGGTGTAGGTGTGTGTGTGTGTGTGTGGGTGTGTGTGTGTATGTGTGTAGGCCTGTGTAGGTACGTGTGTGTTTGTGTGTGTGTGTTTGTGTCATTTTCATGTGTTATAATTGGTCAGGTAAACTATCACTTAGAAGCATGTACTACAAGGTACAATGAACCTCAGACTCGTTCACATTCAAGTTCGTAAAATGTGTTCAACAACAATAAGAATCTCCAAAAGTGCACAGGTTTTATTTCATTTTGATATTAAACATCAATGCCAATTGCCATTACCACATTTCTATTCACTACCGTACTCACAACCACCAACAACCTTATTTGGAATTATAATATAGGCCTAGGCCTAAAAAATGATCATAGTCTTATTTTTAATAGAATTAAAGGGGTAGCGACAAGTGCTGAAATAATCAGTTTTTTAAAGGTTAACAAATTCAGACAGCGTCTTACGACGGTGACCGATGTGATATCGCCGTGAGAATATTAATATTTAATATTCTATATTCTACTACGGGCTACATCGTTTGATGTTTGACGCTGTCTGGGTTGTACTTAACACATTAAACCGTTTATTCATGAAAACATGCTCTTTTATTTGGAAAAAAAGTGTAGGCTACTTTAACTAAATCTACACCCAACACTGCAAGGAGCATAATAATACCATATAATTACAGTAAAATTAGTTACATTTTGGTATTGGTTATGAGTAATTCATTCAGTCACTCTTTGTGCAACAGCTTTAATTAAAGAACAATAAAAAATTGTATACTACCATGCAAACTACGGAGTTATGTATTATACGTAATCAGAAAGTCTAGGGTGATTGAAAATATAATTCCACTTCTATTCCTCAAGCAGTGCACAACCGAGTGAAAAGCTGTAATAGAGGGCCTTCGTTATCTCGTTCGAGAACCAATTTGAACACATAGTAACAGTGTGTTTACACAATGTGTAGTATCGTTCACACTCCTGACTATGTTCGCACTGCTAACGCACTGTGAGATCACACTGTAAAATCTAGGGGTCAATGGGTTAAGCCGGTTTTTCAATAGGCGAATTTATTCGCGCGAATCGAAAGCGTTGGTTCATAGGCATGCGCATTCACATTTCTACCAGGTTTTTAGCGAAGCGAAAAAATGCGCAATCAATCAGAGCTCAGAAAGCGTACCGAAGATTGATTCGCCCGAATAAATTTGCCTTGTGGAAAACCGGCTTCATAATCAATAATCAACACTGAGTGAACACATATAGTCAGTCTCGTCTTATCCCCTCCCTCCACCTCATGATGTGCGTTTAGATCATTTGAAAATATAACATGCTGCATTTTTGGCCGTTAACAAAACTGGTCCATGGCACCCGGCTTTTGGAAAAAATCTGGGTTATAAATCCTGCTGGTTTGTTGAATAGCGATGGGTTCTTAAATTATTTATTGCCACTGAAGCCCATGAGATGAAGTGAGTGATTGTAATGAGTTTCTTGTTTACATTCCAATGGCTATATGTTGCTGGCCAGGACTCTCTTGTTAACTCCAATGGACATTCTTAAAACCAATTAAAGTTAAGTTTATGGAGTTGCTAAGAGCTCCCTCTGGACCATTTGACAGCTCAGTCTCAACTATCAGACAGCTCACTATGGACCATTTCTGCTAACGGGGACTTTCGCCTCATGGCCTCCATAGATGCTATAAACAGGCTCTGAAAACTCTTAAGTATTTTTTTTTTTTTTTTTTTTGGTACCGAACAAAATGAAAATAACAATTAAAATAACAATCAAATATAATACATATTTCATTTTATGCTATTCTAGTCTGTAAGCTAGATTACAGCTCTTAAACTATAGGCCTAAGTTATTTAAAGCACTAAAACCATAACTTCTGATTTACACTTAAAAAGTGCAAATCACAATCTAATAGCAACTTAACCTCTGATTAGCTTAGATAAATTAATCAATCCAACGTGTAAAATGTTTCCCAAACTGTGTACCTGTATATGAATGCTTGACTCATTTTGACTTAGAAAGCCAAACTCATTGAACGTCATCACAAAAAATAACATAATACAGATTCTATTGAATTTGTAATTAAACAACATTATGGCCTTAACACAATAATTTACAAACTATTTTGTAAGTACCGTATTTATTAGAATAAACGTCCAGGGGCGTTTATTGTTGAGAAGGATTTTGAGGGGGAATTTATTCGAGGGGGCATTTATTTGAGGGACGTGTTTATGTATTTTTTGTGTCAACTACAACTCATAATTACCCTCAAAATATGTTATTGCGTGATCATTAAGACTTAACAATACAGTACGTGTGTAATTGTTACCCCTCCACCTCCCACCGGTTCCCCAGGCCCTGAGATAGTTAATCCCAACTAGTTTATAAAAACAATAATACAACATTAATAAAATGTGTTGAGAATTATTTTGTTTCCATTGATTTTTACGATCATTTAGGGGGAGTTTATTCGAGGAAAAAATAAACGAGGGAGGCGTTAATTCCAAATCAAGCTATTCGAGGAGGGAGGCGTTTATTCAAAGCGGGGTGTTTATTTGAATAATATATACGATAATTACACTTAGCACTGTTAGGCATGATATAGCCGTCTAAAGATCATGAGGCCTAACATGACTTTCTAATTTATTATTAATCACCATTTTGAAATTTAATTGTAGTATAGGGACTGCATTTAACAAAATCAATAATCGTGTATAATCTAAAGTTAGAAAACATTGTTTTTGTTTGCGTCTATCCAGCGAAAAATATAGATGAACTCTTAAATGTAACTTGTTTTTTTCAGTTTGACATCTGTAGGACTATTTCAGGAACATGCTCGAGTACTATAACACAGTGGGCAGATCCCCGCCATTAGAAAATTAGTCATCAACGTCTAAGTTTATCTTATTGTTCTAACGTCACTTATATATTTATGTTTGATCGCTTAGCTTCAAAACACATTTCTGTTATATTCATGTATAATAGACTGAATAAAATGAATTGAATTGAATAATGCCACTGTAATTCGCACAATATAACTACATTATCATAAAACATAAGAATAGCAAACATCAGAGAAATGCTTTCTATATATAACAATGCACAATATAACACATATTGAACTATCACTAACGTAAGTGAAACCCACCCACTCTCTATTAGTAGTGGTGTGCGTGTCCCTTATATACAAACAAATCAACTTCTCTTTTTACACTTAACAGTCAGGATTTGTCTCAACGATGCAGATGATAGTACCTGTGATAACACCTCCATTAGTATCAAAATTAAGATAAATATAAGATTTTAAAAAAAAACGCATGGTCCCAATCGGGATTCAAGTCTAAAACTCTCCGATTGTCAATTGAGGACAAGAACATGAGATAATATTTCCATTAAGACCCGAGGTTTATTTTCTAAAGGGTTTTTGCGTGATATGCAATGAATATTAGGTGGATTTTGCAACCTTACGAACATGAATACGAATATGCCTACATTTTGGTCCTTCGCATGCCTAAAACATTATTGGTAAATACATACAACGAACTGAATATGATCGTTGAATTATGTAAAAGGCATCCAAGCTGTCTCATGTCGTCACAGATAGCTACAGTGAAAGATAGATTGACTAAATAATTATTTGATGACGTAACTTTCTGACGTACGTTTCCCTGTATCACTATTAAAGTAGTATGGAGAAACACCACGACTAGAAAGAGCTGCTTTTTTATTATCTGAAAAGGGTAGACCTACAATTTTTCTCAAATTAATAAGTACCATCATCTTGACAATGAATAATATCAACACTTCTTGACTTATCATATTTCCCAAAAGGACGGGAGGCTATACCACAATTCGCTCCCCACCCCTCGCTCACCCCTGGCGTCATCGTCATTATTGTTATTGTTATTGTTATTTTTATTGCTTTTATTACTTTTCTAATTATTATTAGACCTATTATTATGGGCTATTAACGTGACAGCACAAAAGGTAATGTTTCTGTTCTATTTTGTTTTCTTTAGTTTTTCTTCTTCTTTTTCTTCTTCTACTTCTTCTCTGTTTTTGTATAGGTTTTTCTACCCTACACCCATGAAATTTTTAACTGTACCTGTACTGTTAAAAGTCCTTGCTTCACTTTTTTCATTTTACGTACCCCTATCATCGATTACAAACTAGCAAAGCAAATGAAAATAAAGCAAAGACGATGATACAAAGAAGTGCCAAGCAAAAACTGACTTCAATTTACAAATAAACTGGTAAGTAAACATAAAGCGACTAATGATTAGTGGTGACATTTTACTACCATATAATCATGTGTATACGTGCCACTATTTAGAACCTACATCGTTTAAAAATGTATAATCATAGCTAATATTTTCTCAAATATTTAAGGAATTACATCGAACCTACATTTTGCTAATTGATATTATTATTTTCGAGTTAATGGCTGTACGTTTTAAACACGTCTTGATAATTTATTTAGTATCTTTGTTTTTATTATAGATTATACGTTTTAATCATGGCTTCCTTTGCTGATTCCCAGCTGATTTTCTTCCATTCATTTGGAATATCTGCTTTCTTTACACCATAGTAATCAGCAAGTATCTTATTGTAGTTTACCATAAACCACTTCCAGTACAACTGAGACTCAATTTCAACTGGCTGAATCTTCCATGCGTTGTAGAATTTATTAACAGTTTGGTATTTTTTAAAAGGGTGATGTTTACCTAAAGTGTCTTCATTTCTGAATGTATCATCTGACATGATACTTGATGTGCATACGCTCGTAACGAGTTGTTTAGTGTCTTCTAAATAATACCCAAACACTCCTTGTGGTCGATGGTACTCTGTACGATGGTCGTCATATCTGTCACCAGCTTGAAGGTCACATGGTGCTTTGCAAAATGGGCACAATTCCCTGCAACCAAGAAGGTCTTTTTCAAAAAACTGTTGACATTCTGAGAGAATGACAAGTAAAATGTTGTGCCCATTATAGGCTTTCGTGAGTTCTTCCTTAGATTTCCTTAACCCAGTTAGTAACATCCTTTTAAGATCTTCTAATTTAAGGCTACAATCTTCGTTAAAATATCTTAATTCCTTTTCAACATCCAAATTATTACCGATATTGCTGAGTAATTTAGGCCACAATTTGCTAATCTTGCATTTTTTTTTAGAAGGTGTACATGTTGCACTTATTGCTCTTTCTGCTTCTGCAAAAAGGTAGTCTAATTTCTCACAATATATTTCTTGCAAAATCGGGATATTTTCTTCTCTTATTTCGTGTAAACACAGGTGTTGTATACGTTCTTCAATATATGTTCTCATATATTGGTGAGGTTTTGATAAATACTTTCGATAACAGTTGAAATCACGTCTCTCTGCCAAGTCAATCAACATCTGCGCATGGAATGACATCTTATTGGCAAATGATTGAGTATTATTGCGCAAATAATTGATCACTGCGGTTTCACATTGATTTGGAAGGGATGAAGTAATAGCAATTTCCAATGCTCGAGATATTGTGGATGCTGCTTTGGTGCTTATTTCTGCCGTCGTACATTCATCTCTAAACATTTGCCACAGCCTGTCTTTTTGAGTCTCAATGTATGATCTCAGATCATTCTCCTGAAAGTACTTTTCTTTCAACCTTTTTAACTCTGGTACAACTGACAAGAGAATACGTGTGGTTACCCGAAATCTTCCTCTGTCTTTGAAAGTAACTTCGTCTAATTCCGATAGTTGCATGGTTATGAAATCAACAACAGAATTTCCAATGTCATAAGTATAGTTTTTACCATCATGAGAGAAATTTGATATTTCTTGCAATACCTTTGATCGTAACCTCTCTATGAGTGACTTTGCCTTATCGATGCATGCTGATTTGCTAACTGCACGACCAGAATTGTATTTGGTTGTTTCTCCTTTCCATGAATCAAAGTTCAAATCATCTTCAGTTACCAATATTTGACATGTAACTGACCTACTAGATATATGTGATTCACTGGAAATCATATGGTTTAGCTCTTTTTCGAAACGCAAGTAGGATGATTGAATTATTTGTTTTAGAGAAAAGACTATATCAATGTCCTCCAATTTAAAAGGTGATTTAACATCAACCCATCTTTTCCATTCATCATCAAACTTCCTTTTCAGATCTGTGTTTGAAAATTTCCCATCACTAAATATGTGAGTCGCAAGGTCCTTAGCCTTTTGTACAATGTCTTTCTCATAATGTTTTATAATTGAAACAATTTCATTTCTTCTAATTATTGTGGTTCTTAGTAACACAAATTCATCAGTCATTTCTTTTCGGATGTCTTCACATAGCTTAGTCATTTTTATTTTCGTACGACCCTTCCATTGACACGCCTTTTTTTCTTTAAGAAAGTACTCATTCATGCATTTTTTAAATGTTTCGACTTCTTTTTGTAAGTTAGCTAGCTGATCGTTAAGTATTATTTGACCAGTTTCTTCTATCTCATTAGCTGCAAGTTTCTTGCATTCCACTTTAAGTTGGTTCATGTAGATCATTGCACTTACTCTTAATTTACGAGAATTCTCCAAAAGTTTGGATTCTAAAGCATTAAACGCCCGAATGTCAATTGTATTCCTGAAACTGAATACAAAATCTTCACAGCGTATTGCTTTCCAGAGATCTGATATCCTACATTTGACGTCTTCAATTGGTTTAGCTTGGGAATTTTGCATAATTGTTATGATTTGTTTCCTAACCTTAAGAATGCATTCACTGTAACTTGGGTTAGGAGGAGCCATTGGAGGATCTCCTTGTAAAAGACTAGAGATGAACATTGTATGTTTGTCTTCTTGGAATTGAATTACGTCATTAAACGTTTGGAATCTTCCTTTGACATTTTGTTCTTCTGCAGCACATTTTGTGATCTCATCTAACATTCTCTTTATCTTTCTTTTTTGAGTCGTAAACATCTCGGGTGCTGCAAACTCGATGATATTTTGATGTACAAATATACAACTTGGTTTGATATTTACTTGTGTCATTTTTATGAATGCATATACAACGATCTGGAGAATGTCTTGTATTTCGGTTGTATTTTCCCCCATGATATTTATGATTGCAGCATCAGCTAAACCAATCACAAGAGTTGCCAGTTTGTTGTCGCGGTTGCTATGTTCAATGTTTGTTAATTCCGGAGCACGTAAACCTTCTGAGTCAACCACCAGAATGTAGTCACATTTAGGTTTTTCTTGTAAAGACTTTTTCACTGGTACCAATTGTGCAAATACACCTTTAGTACAACTTCCAGCACATTGCAAACCAAACATTGCGTTGAGCATGGTTGACTTTCCGCTACTTTGAATGCCAACAACTGACAACACAAACATACGTTTATCACCAATTATTTCTTTTAAGGAAGTCAAGACAGCTTCCACCCAAGTGAGTGGAACATCAGACGCGTCACTATTCATTAATTGCAGAGGATATCCATTAAGTAAAAGTTCCGCTGCCACAACTGGAAACTGCTGAGTTGAATCATCCAATATTCTAAAATATGATCTCATTTCATACATTTGTCCGATCTCTGTTGTGAAGTTATCCAGGCTTAATGAAAAATGGTTGATTTTACTTTCGAGATTATCAAGCTCATTTCTCCTCAATTTTAAATCTTGTGATTCTCTGTTTGATCTGTCTCTCAGATCTTCACACAAGCTTGTCCATTTCTCGTTGTATTCCTTACGCTTTTTCTGCAGTTCGTTAATGCTCTCTCTGACTCCTATTGTCTTAACGTAATTAAAGAAATATTTCCTCTCTGGCACTGGTAACTTGTAAGAACTGCTGAATTGATCAAGTAATTCTGGATATTCGTCCCAGATTTTTTTTTGCCCTTCTCGCAACGACATTATATCTGATTGTAACTTGTCTGAGTATTCTTCTGATTTCATGTCTCCCTCCCGTCTCCTTTGATATTTTTCTTTTTCCATCGCACCTATTTTTATTGAAATTTCTTGCAAAGGTAGACGTTTTCCTTTCCAAAAAGTTTTTAAATTATTGAACATTTTGTTTGCTCTATCTTTTGCATCCACACACTCCTGCTTGTTTTCGTCAATTACAAAACACATTCTTTTTGCAACGTCAATGCACATTTCAATGCTCGTATTGGGTACAATGTTATGACGTTCCTCTTTACAAATGCCATTAAGTAATACTCTAATTTCCCTACAAATTTGAAAGTCATTTTTGTTTTGAGAACCAATGAACCTCACTTCCTTATTTGTTATCGTCAAATATTGTTGCTGCAATGGACTAACTGCTTCTTTTAATTTTTCCCCAGGTTTTCCGTCAGCTACAAGGATAAAATGGCCATTTTGCTTGTACAGTTTTTCAAGTAATATAATATCTTCTTCTTTTATTTCATTAGAAGATACGAATGCAATGGTTGCAAGGGATATTTTGGATAAGAAATCTGTTTGTCCACTAAGATGAGATGCATTGCCTCTCAAATTTAAAAACGTGAGCGCCTCAGGAAAAACATCTTGATTCTTTCCATTTGGAAGGTACCATGTAATCTCCAGTAAACCATCAGAAAAGCTTCTTTCCAAAGTACCACCATCACATTCAGTGTTGAAGAAAATATTATGTTTTAGATCACTAATAATATGGTTAAGTATTTTGGATTTTGATATCTTAGGTCTTCCTAAGCGAATAACAGACATAATCGGCAAACGACACATAGAAATTAATCCATCGCAGGATCCTGAACTTGTTTTCCATTGCTTTCTCAGCGAACTCATCGCCCATATAAGTACTTCAATTCCATGTGAGTTGGTGTCAATACATGGCAAAAACAATGGAATAGCCAGTTGACAGATGGACATTTTTTCTATTAAAACTTGTCTCAAGAAATCGTCGCAGCACCAAAAAAGAGCTACCAGTGCGTCAGAGGGACTTATTTGATTTCTGTCATCATCATAACTTGCTTCATGACATTCATCAAACGAAAACGAGAGTCCCAGTTTCTCAAATGATAAACCTTGGCTTACATCAAAACACCTACCTTCATAGTTACACAACAGCAGATTTCGTAAAATAAACCAAGGAATATCGCCAGCATTCTTGGGACCATCAGTTGCAATGTCATCCGAAACTTCAAGTGCTTTCTCACGAGTTAGTTTTTTAGGATAAACGTCTTTTAGCCCTAGTTGTTCAATGATACGAGGGAATTGTGGTACTGCAGCCATTTTGCTTGCTATCGCATTTTCTAGTAATCCTCCGGATCTGTTAGTTCATTTCCAACTAATAAAAAAGAATAATTATATATAATATATTATATATTATATAGTATAGTATAGTATATCAAAATAAATTAATACTAATGATGGTAATCATATTAGAATTATAATATTATTAACAATTATTATGTATATATATAATTTA